TGCAGGGTCTGCTGGCTGGGTGCTGGCAGGCTTGCACCTGGCACGGGCACCGTAGCCAGCCTGTGCCCCTTTAAGGGGTCTGGGGCCGGGAGGGGGGCATACGAGTTTCCCTGGTGTTGGCCAGAGTGGCCACCAGGGCAAGCTGGGGAGGTCTAGCCTCCCAGTAGTTCGAATTAAGGGGCTACACACCCTTTAATTCGAACTAGTAAGTTCAAACTAGGCTTAGTCCTCGTACAATGAGGTTTACCTAGTTCGAACTAAGTGCTCCGCTAGTTCGAATTAAGTTCAAACTAGCGGAGCGCTAGTGTAGCGCCTATCAAAGTTAATTCAAACTAACGTCCATTAGTTCGAATTAACTTTGTAGTGTAGACATACCCTAACTGGCTTCCTAGCAGGCCTACATAGGGCTGTGAGTGATGACTGGCACCAAGCTGTTGACGCCGGCAGTGCACTGCGCACCAAGGCACCGTCACTTGGTGCCGAGTCCAACTGCTGATCCATTAAGAGAGCTTTCAGATAAATGCTCCACTCTTTAATAGTTTTAGGATGGAAGGACCTACAAATGCGACACGTGTCCAACACACGTCTTTCCTCCAGGCAAAAAAAGCAGTCAGAATGTGGATTGCTGACTGGCATGGGCCTGCGACATGCTACGCAGACTTTGAAGCCAGAAGAAGGGAGTCTCATCCCCCAGACAGAGTCTGTTGGAGGGACCGAAGTCCAACAGTTCACTAGTACTTCACCAGTTCATTAATGACTATCACAATGCAAAGGGAGTGCTTGCTACAGCTAAGGCTAGAACATCTGTTCCACGCACGGTCACTGGCAGTAAGAAGGAACTAAGGATGATGGAGGGACGGGGGTACCCTATATAGTGCGGCATGCATGCGCCACTCCAGGGGGCACTGGAGACGCTGGTCCCTACAGGTACTACTTAGGGGAAAAGTTTCTGGCACGGGTGCACGTGGCAGGCACACACACCTTTGTTGAATGGACATGAACAAGCACTCAAAGAAGAATCCACATGTCTCCCACTCCATTCATAAGGTGCAGACCCTGTGAATTGGACTATCAAGTCTCTCTTGCTCTCTCTTATCCAATGAGCATTTTGTTTTTTCAACTGGAACTATTCACCTAAATCAACACAAATTCATGAAATATTTTGGTTGACCTGATAAAACGTTTTCAGTGAAAAGTATTTTAACCAGAACATTTCGTTTGGCTCTAACTAAAAGTAGGTCATATGGTTTTATTACTAAGCTGAATGCTGAGGTAACAGAGAGGTGAAGGTAAGACTGGCATTCTACTGCATGAACCTGCAGTCATCAACACAAATTGCTTCCACATACAGCTGTAAGGGCTGTGCAAGAGCATCAAGAGAGGGCTGGTAGGCTTTCAAGGAACCACAACTGAAAGCTAATTTTTGATAGCATACATATTAAGCAGCAGATCCAAGCTCAATCAACTTTTTGAATTTCTTCCAGGTGGAGACTTAGCCAACAGTAGTGGAATTTTTTTTTTTTTTTTTAGAATCATAAAGCAACTTTTTATACAATTGTATTTTCCCTTCCACGTCCTCCCCCACGCCCAAATCATCCTCCCCTCCAGTGTTTAAAACAGTATTTTGTTAGTAGTCAGTCTGGTTCTTGTCGGTAGTATTCCCCATCTCTCCAGGGCCTTAAAGGAACTGAATATGCAGCTGGTGTCTACACCATGAAGGAAAGGAAAGATGGGTGGGCCTTAGCATGTTTGCTGGCACCATTCAAAAAATCCTTTTGCACAGAAGCAGGAGAGCAGTAAAACTTTCGTATTTTTTTTTTTTGTTCAAAAGATTAAAAAAAAAAACAGATTATGCCCATTAAATAGTATTCGCCAGAAAGTAGTAAATCATTTATATCTGTGTCCCTTCAAACTCAGAGTATTCTTTTCTGTGTTCTGTTAAGAGTCTCCACTTAAAAACCGGAGGGTCACAATTTAGTCACTGCAATACATAGCCTAAGATGTTAAATACTGTAATCTTAAAATATGCAAACAATTATGTCAGTCCAAACATTTATTTATCTTTAGAATAATGAATTATAATTATTCAATACATTTAAATGCCTTTTATCCCAAAACATATTATAAACATTAAAAAATAAGGTTAATATTTTCCAACTTTTGAGAGTGAAGTTAAGCTTCTCAATTTGAATTTACTCACAAGATGTTACTGAAATCAATGGGAACTTGAGGCACATCTTTTATATAGGTGGGCAAAAATGAGTTAAATGTCTTGACTTCAGGCACTCACGTCTGAAAATTTTGGCCCAAAATTTTATACAGAATCATTTCACCCACTATTGAAATGAAGTCGCCTCTGGGATAAAATACAAAAGCTATTTAAAAGGCCTGGTGCTCAGGTTTTCACCATTTGCAATTCCCACTGATTTCTCCAACAGTGCACAGCAACAGAGCAAAAACAAATTAAATATAAAAAGTTAAGAATACTTCTCATATTCAGTCGAAAGCACGAAGAAAAATGTTCGGTTACTGGCATATTCCAATGATCTTTATTACTCCTCAACAGTTAAGATCTCTTTTCTACATCTCACTCAACCAGGTTTTCACCATTTGCAATTCCCACTGATTTCTCCAACAGTGCACAGCAACAGAGCAAAAACAAATTAAATATAAAAAGTTAAGAATACTTCTCATATTCAGTCGAAAGCACGAAGAAAAATGTTCGGTTACTGGCATATTCCAATGATCTTTATTACTCCTCAACAGTTAAGATCTCTTTTCTACATCTCACTCAACCAGTGTACTCAACCAGTGCAAGGCCCCTAACATCTCAAGTGGAAAGAGGGCCACCTACTGATTCACATCACATTTTAGTACGTTTCCAGTTAGAAAATAGCAGGAATTAAAATAAGTTAATGGTATAGACTGAACTCTCGCAAAAACTACAAGGGTAGTATGTTCGTCAATATTTAACTAAAGCAGAAACTAAAGAGCAAAAACCAGAAATCTTATGAATCTGAACAGATTTCTTAGTCAAAGAAAACAGACTAAACGGAAGTACTGTGATCAAAAAGCATGACGCCTTTCCCTTTGCCTGACTAATGATTAATGTAATATGTATTTCAAAGACAAAAAAAGGATACTTTCGTAGATCACCCAGACTGATTTTCGATGGTGGTATCTTCTGAGCACTTTGATCATCAATGTAGACATTGAAAATTAACACTTATAACTACCATGTTTCTTAAACTTATAGTTTCCAATTGTGTAATTTCTACACTATCACCAGCCGCATTTATTTATTTTTGTTTCTAAACACACAAGTTACAAATCAGACATGTGCACAATTATATTAACAGCATAGAACTCTGAACTGAAGATCAGACTAACCAGAGATTCACACAGGAATAGGAGTGCATCTAAGACTTTGGTAAAAGCAATGCAAATAAAATACTAAAGATGATTTTTAACAGATGACAAAAGCATACAGCTTTTAGTACATATTGTAATGTTTTGATTTTTAAAAACATATACAGAACTCATTAAGAAATTCTCTATCAATATAAGATTTGTTTTGAATTGTAACTTACCAAGTACGAGAAATATCCACCAAAGCCAGTACTGTCCATTGAAATATCCAGTAAAATAGTCTGAGAACTGAAAAATACAAGGATTAATCAATTTTAAGTGGTAGTATCTTGAATATATTTTAAATGTAGATATGATACAGTGAACTAGCAAATTAAAATATAAAATACACTCAAGTAGAAAAGCAAACAATTATTTCAAGAAGCTATAAAATACACAAACGGTGTCAGTTTAGTGTTTTTTAACAAAGGATTTCTAAACTTGTTAAAAATATAATACTTATTTGAATCATCTCGCATTTTCTATTAAAATGAATTACTGTCACCTCTTTTTAATGTCTGCAATCCCAAGCACACTACAGCAGCCTGCTGCTTTAGATATTAAACACCAAAAGCCACATTAGTTTAATCTTATCAGACAGGGATGTTCTGCTGACCCCTCAAAAGAAGAGCTTTTGACCTTCTGTATACCCCCTACTGTTAATCGCTGCCAAGAATACCAGCCCCATAAAGACCTCCAACTCATTAAAGCCTTTTCATTTTCAAACTAGATGCTCCAGCATTCAGTTCACAGCAGTGAACTGAACACAGCTACAATGAACCTTGAAGTGCATTTCAACAGTTCCTGTTAGTGACCATGGTAGACAGTCTTGTCCTCTCTGTTTTGTGGGAATATGAACAGGCAGCTGGAGGGCTGGGTGTGAGGGTATTTGAGACTGGTATCTTTTCCTTAACCAGACTCCAGACTGAGTGATTCACTGATAAAAAGGTTAATTAAATGCCCCCAGAGTGCACATCAGCTCTCCTTACCCCCTTTTTAACTCTTCCTTAGTAGTTATTAAAAAGGAACAGAATAATTTGTGCAAGCTGTAATAATTCAATAATGTTCTGTATACTCCCTGCCTACCGCTGTTCAGCTTGTTTGATGCATACTGTCACAGAGCTTACCCATACACTCCTTTACAGCACATTTTGTGGAATAGCTAGGCTTTGTCTATACAGGCAGTCCCCGGGTTACGTACAAGATAGGGACTGTAGGTTTGTTCTTAAGTTGAATCTGTATGTAAGTCGGAACTGGCATCCAGATTCAGCCGCTGCTGAAACTAATCAGTTTCAACAGTGGCTGAATCTGGATGCCAGTTCTGACTTACATACAGATTCAACTTAAGAACAAACCTACAGTCCCTATCTTGTACGTAACCCGGGGACTGCCTGTATACCATTTCAAAAGTAGTGTTCTCTTATTTTCATCTTGGTGTAAAAATTCCTTTGTGTCTCAAACTCTATGCTCTCAGCATGTATGCTAGTTACAGATCAATACACCATTTTAGCAATGAGGATTTAACTAGGATAAACAAGCTGCTAAATATTTGTTTCTTTATCCTGTTTGAGAAATTATAATTGTTTCTGCATATTCCTGAAAATAGGCAGACATTGAAGAACAAAATGCTAATTAGATATGCAGTGAGGTGTCAGCTGACATTCCTTTCTATGAATCGGTATAATTGACTGCAAAGCTGTCTTTATGAACTGAGGCACTAATATTTAGCTGCTGGTTTATTAAATCCATGTTGCTTGAACAGTATATGATTTTGAGCTGACATGCTAAAAAACACAATCTTACAGCCCTACTATAAATGTAGACAAAAAGTTCTCTATATAGTCTGTACAAAATGACTCCCACTCTTTTGGTATGATAAAATGATCTTCAATAAATACTTTTCATGTTCCTGTATCTTTTAATAATTCACTTTGAAAAGCCAACAATAGCTGTAGGCACAGTCTATTATGATTAATGACAAAAGCAATGACCTTTTTGTAACAATGCCAAAAACCCCTTGCGCAAAAAGTGACCGGAAGAGAATATGCAAATGAAGCACAAGAAAATGCTAATCCACACTTCATTTGCATTGCCTCTTCTGGCAAAGCACGTAGTGTAGCCATTGCCCTACTATAAAAGCCCAGACATCACATACACTAAAGTTAAGATATGAGGTCAGATCCTCAGTTGGTATAAACCAATCAATGGAGTTCTATAGAGTTAGACTACTGAGGATTAGGTTTATGAACTTCATTAGTATTTTTCCAGAGTAGAAATATTTTTCATTCATTAGTTAAAATTCATTACAAAAAGTCTTTGGTCTCTAACAGCACTCATTACAAGTAACTTCTTTAAAAAAAAAAAAATCAAGTATTCATGTAAGGTAGAGTCAGTGTTGGAATTGAGAGTTGAAACATTTTTATAATTGTTTCAGTTATCAAATCCCTATCTTGGATTCCTAGATATCTAGCATCAGTTGCTTCAGAGACATAAGGTCCCTTCCTGCCTGCATTTGTGACTTTAAGAGACCACAAATCCAGCCCAGTGCATTGCAGTGGGACCAAGTAACCCAACATGTATATGCTAGGAACCAAAAATAGGCATATTTTGGATAATCTCAGGAGAGATGCCTTCTAATTTCTAGAAAGGATGAGATTCCTCAACTCCCTCTCCTCAGCCTTTGTACATTAGGTAAAAAGAGGCCAGTGTAACATAAAGGGACCTAAAAGCCCCAAATTAGCCAAGAGAAAATTCCCCTGGCACAAACTGAGGAAAAAGCTGTAAGGCTGTTTTTCCTCAAGAGCCCCATACCAAGTACTGGAGAGGAGGCATAGCTGGGACATTAGGGAGAGGCCACATCGCACAGTGTTATAGAGATTCTTGGCAACAATGCCACATTCAGGGCAACCAAATGAGGTTGCCATATACTGGCTAGATAATATTGCAGTGCTGAAATCACACCAAGAGCTTCTGCAGCCCCATAACAGCTCCAAACTGGGAGAGCACAAAAGATGCCCTAGCTCCCACCTTATTTGGATTGAGCTGAAAGTTCTGTGCCTGTGAACACGTGCTCCAGTACCACAGATTCAAAGTTAAAGCACAGAAGGGACTATTAGGTTATCTGTCCTGTATATTATAGGACATTAAATTGCTCACAGTTTACCCTATATTGATCCCGGTAACTTGTGCTGTTTTTAAGCATTTCCCCAGAGCAGCATCCAGAAAAAGACATCAAGAGTAGGACACTCTACCATTTCCCTTGGTAGTTTGTTCCAGTGGTGAATCATCCTCACTATTAAAAACATGCCTTTTTTTGTACCCCCAAATTTGTATTGCTTCAGCTTTCAGCCCTTTGTTCTTATTACGCCTGTTCCCACTAAATTAAAGACCTTTTGAAGACAGACTTATCAAAGCATCTTTCAAACTTTTTTTATTAAAAAGACTGAGGTCTAAAATCTCTTATTGAACTGGAGAAAATGCCTTACATGAATCATTTTTGCAGCTCTTTTCTCCACACACCAGAATTTTTTGGAAACCACTTTTTTTTTTTTTTTTTAAATGTTGACAACAGAACTGGACACAATATTCCAGTACTCCAGGAAGAAGTAAGGATCACCTCCCAGCTTCTCATCTGCTGTGTATAAATCCTAGGACTGCAGTAGCCCTCTTTGCACAGCTAGTTTATGATAAATTGCTTGCTTACCTTAACCAGTGCCCTTCATGGTACAGAAACAGGAATGTGTGTCCGCATCTGCAAAATCACCCGTATACATCCACATCCACAGATGCAGACACCTGCGGATTTGCAGGCTTCTAACCATAGCCCCATAATGCTTTTTAGAGTCACCACTTATATAGTTACAATCCTCCATTTTGTAGGGTTGGCCTGTATTTAGTTCTTAGATATATAACTTCACATTTTACTGGATTAAAAACATTGTTTGAATGGACCCAGCTTGCCAAGTGAATCTCATTGTAAATATTTTAAATCTAAATATACAAAAGGAATCATTTTAGAGACTAGCTTAAGCCCTGTAGAATAGTCTACTATCCCTTCCAAGCCCTTTTTGGCATTCACGTTGGATATTCTTGTTATTCACATAAACATCCAACTCCTTTCTGAATCTTGCCAAATTCTTGGTTTCAACAGCAGACTGGCAATGAGTTCCATAGGTTGTTTTTTTTTTTTTAGTAAGCATTTCTCTTTTTAAATTTTCTACCTTACAGTTTCATTTAACGCAGGATCTCAATCTCCCAACCCACGGACAATCACTGACCAGAGCCATTGGGCAAACTGCCTGGGAGTCCCCATTCTCCAAACCCCGCCCCCAGACTCTCTCACAAGGATGTGGATTTGGGGAATTCTGAGGGGTTATGGCACGGCAGCAGCATTCCCTCCCCTCTTCAACAGTGCAGAAACCATGGGAAAGTGCTCCCTGGGGAAAAATCTAAATACAGATGTATAAGTACGCATCCTCGTGGGATGAAAGTCTGCTGGCAGAGCTGTGTCAATAGATTCCGGGCATGTCACAGAGAACAACAATGGGGCTATTAAGGAATTTCTTCACCTCCCAAAAGCTCCAAGGAGGCCCTGTCGAGACACTTGTATCAATTGATTTGATGGAATGTAAGAACCTAAGTTTATAATACACCTTTATTTGATTCTTGCATAATCTTTCACAGTTAAATCCTTTTTGATAGAAATAGGAACACTGCAAGGTAAAAACTGTTACAGCAGATACAAAGCAACGCCAATGTTCAATAACCCACACATTAAAAGGACAGTAAAAGCTATTAATTGAATAAAAAGATATTAGCTGACAAAATTTTTCAGTGTCTACTTTAGTCAATATTTTATTGCATTAACTGTTAAATATTAGAACCATATAATAAAAATGCATACATACCACTTTAAGTGGTATTTTAAATAAAGTAGATACACTGAAACAATCTTGATTCATAGTTTCATTTAGTAGAGACAGTCATAAAATAGTCATCTGGAACCTTACCCGTACAATGAGAATCCATTTAATCAGCGATAGGCCAAATCCACAGATTGCACCATATCTTCCTGCTATGGTGTTAGTTATACAGAAGGATAAACAAAATCCAATCCAGTTGAAAATAAATGCCACTACGACCAAGAGAAATAGTAGCTGTATTAGTTACTCTTCTTTAGCCATACAAACTAAGTAACTTTAATAAATAAATGAGTATATTTACAAGATTAGAGATAAAAAATCATATCCTTCAGAAATCTAAATGTTCCTAACGATATACAGTTTAAAAAGTGCACTAGCTAACATCCATCAAGCCAGTTATTTTAAATAGAGAAGACAGACAAATAAAAGTAGATTCTTTTTTAAAAGAGCAAGTGTTATATCCTCTACAGCAGTGGTCTCCAAACTTTTTACACCTAAGATCACTTTTTAAATGACAGACCAAGTCAAGATCTACCGCCCCGCTCCTTCCTTGAAGCCCCGCCCTCTCTATTCTCCTCCTCTCCTTCACTTGCTATCCCCAAGCCTTATACTGCTGCTTTAAAAATTTAAAAAAAATTTAAAAAATTCTGCTGTAGGAAGAGGGCTTTCCAACATTTGGCCTGTCTAGACTGGACCAAACGTCAGAAAACAAACCCTTCTTTTGGAAGCCCCCTTATTCCTCATGGAAAGAGGAATATAGGGGTGACCGAAAGAGATTGTTTGCTCTTCCGCTTTTTTTAGTGGAAGAACAAACGCAACCCTGGAAGCAGAAGAGTTTTTCTGGGATATCTCCAGAATCCTGAAAAACTCCTGCAGTCTAGCCGGACCCTTGCTGGGTTGAGACAGGATGTGTAGTCTCTGGGGTGGGAATGAAAGATTTGGGGGTGGGAAGGGGTGAGAGGTGCAAGCTCTGGGAGGAAATCTGGATGCAGGAGGAGGTGGAGAAGGGGTCACTGTCTCAGGGAGGGGTCTTCAGGCCGGGCAGTGTTGGGGTTCGGGCGGGGCGGTGTGGGGGTACTAAGCAAGCCACAGGCTTGTGGATGTGAGGGTGCAGGAATTTGGGTTGGGGTACGTGATGGGGCTCAGGGCAGGGGGTTCCAGTGCATGATAGGCTCAAATCTAGGGTCTGGGGAAGGGGGAATGCAGGAGTGGTTGTGGCCAGATGGGGGCTTGGCCCCAATTGGGGGTTTGTTGGCAAAGGTTTCATTTTTAAATAAAATACTAGGTCAAACAAAAAGTTTCTGCATTGTCTTTATTAATCAGAATGTCAGGGAACCTGCCTTGAGTCAGGGGTCACTAACCCATAGAAAAGTCAGTCGGGAGCAGGGGACACAGTACTGGGGAGGGATGCTAGCGGGTTCTGGGGGAGGGGAGAGGGAACAGGGTGCCAGAAGGACAGGTTTCTGCAGCAGGGGCCAGGGTGCCAGTGGGGGACAGGATTCGGCAGC